GTGTGTGTGTGTGTGTGTGTGTGTGTGTGTGTGTGTGTGTGTGTGTGTGCAAGTTAAGCGTCGTTATTCCATTTCGCCTGTTCGCTGAGCTGGACTTTTTGTTTGCAAACGCCTCATAACCAGCCAAGGTGTCATCATCAGTGCTTAAAGCGTCTCTATGTTAATCCGTGGTTTGAAAGAACTAGCGAACAATTTTTCCAATATTTTTGGGGGACGATCAGGTTGGCTGTACACCTTTTTCCTCTCAAGGTCGTATATTATTCATTAAAAATCATTGTTACAAAATGCAATTGCTGTTTTTTCTTCTCTTGAGGAGTGGGAGAATGGAATTATTTGATGAACATTGTTTATCAAGTATCGTGTTGTCGAAAACCTAATGGGGGGATAGTACCCCATTAGAAAAAAACGTTATTCCCCAATCAATACACGTAGAAAAGGCCAAAATATACGTAGTCAAAGAGGGGAGGGATGGTCCTAGAGTGGCTCCATGGGCGCGAATTCTCAGGGCCACGTAATGATTGACCCATCAGCGTCATCATCACGTTTGAGAAAGACGTTTTGCAAAAGTTGTATGCCGTATGCTAGGTGGGTGTGTTTACGCTCGAAACTTTCTGTCATCCACTGCAGGAGCACAAATGGAACTTATTCGTAATGTGAGTATGTTGAACATCGGGACTTGGTTCTTGAATCACACAGAACTTCAGTGTTCTTGTCGTATCAGTTCACATATTCATTCTCGTGGTTAACCTCAAGGTTCAGAGTACCGTACACGGCGGTTCGATTCCCCACAACTATCCTTTTGATGCTCATGTGCTTATCATACAGTCAATGGCTTGCAAAACGTCATCCCCGCTGCTAGACAGGCGATTGGAAAAAGATAATCAAGATTTTCCGCTACATCGTTTATCTAATCAATATATGCGTCATTTAAAAGACCTAAGATGCTTGGGCATTTTTTTTACCATTGATTTCTACAAATCCCCGCATCCCATATTTTTGATTTATATATTCTTTAATTACAGAGTCATATCTTTGGCAAGAGATTGCTCGACCTCAGGTTCACGGATACGACATGAATGCGGTGGCGTGGTTGTCCCCAACCAGTTATGTGTCGGCTGGAGATGAGAAGATCGCCCGTGTTTTCAAGGCCACACGTACATTTTTCGCTGCCTACGAGCAGTCTTCTGGTATCCGGTGTACGTTGGGAGATCAGTCTTTGGCTGAAGGTAAGTACATTGGTACATGTAGATACGTATCGTGTTACACATTCCTGAAGCTTTTGCCTACCATACTCCCTGCGGGCGTTTTGTTCGATCGTGTGTTCTTCGACAGCATCTACACATATCTTATTAACGACTTCGATGGCTGTGGGGGTGCCACATCGTGTGGCTTTATGATGAACTCCAATTGAAAAAGTCATTTACGTTTTATTCAGAACCAAATCACAGTGCTAGCAGGAATACTTATCTCATGCCCTACCTTTCAGTCTAAGCTATATTTTTTAGTTGATGACGCATTGTTCGAGTAATATTGTTAGTTAGTAGCTGATTGCTACGTAGCTGTTCGTGGCAGAGCATACCAACGGCCACAATCGTTGCGGTAGCTAGAACGCTACTTCCTTTCGATAAATGACGGATCGTGCGGTTTACCGGCTACCGGAAAATTTGGTCTCCAATAAGGTTGACAGTAGACACCTACCCGTCGTAATATATTGAAACGAATCGGATAGCTGCAATAAGGTTTGTAATGCTTTCACGCAATTCACAACAGCGGGATCGAGTGTTGAGCCGTGCAAGGCATGCTTTAAGTTCGCATAGATCAATGGTGTTGTTATCGGGTATGGGCAAAGTGAAAAACGGTTTGATTGGCTACCCGGTGATCAAGTAGGTAGTATGTTATCGTTCTACATGTGAGGTCCTGGATTCCATTCCTGGTGGTACTATGGATACGCGCTGCTGATGAGATCCAACCAGGCCGTAACAACTGTCTAGTGCTTCCTAGCTTCGTAAATCACGCTTGGTTTTCTCTGTGCGCGACGAGCTTCGCCATTTAATTTTATTTCTCATGCAGTTTAAGTAGCTGCAATCGGTGCACCTTGGGTCGTAGTGTACGAGTTTGGAATCCCTCCACTGCCACCCAATATCGGTGGTAGGCGGCTTCGCCGTGATCCTGCTCAACACTACTCCTGACCTCATGGGAGCTTTCTGTGGTTCTTCACTCCAAGTCCTGGGGGTCCTACGAGTGAACAGCATATCTGTCTGTCTGTAGGGTTTACTCCGTCTGCTGTTCATCGGAGAAAGTTGTGTAATACTGCTCGGATTGATTATCACCACCCCTGAATGCATTTAAAGTTATCTACAATTGTTTCGTTCTTGTCAGGACTCAATGTCATCTATACGCATTCACGATAGTTACCATTATATGAACAGGATCCAGAATGAATTTCTCCTGCGGTTCGCTATTCACTTGGGCCAGTCTAGACGGCCGACATTGGCTTACTTCTCGTTCACACTACATCGTCGAGCAACTATCGTTCATTGTCCTCGTATTTGTTAAACAACCCCGCTGTTGCCCGACTCGAAGCCGCGTCTATCTAATTTTGTGTCCTTGTATTTAGACCGCACTACTTCCTGTGGCTGCATGATTTCCTCCGTTTGCTCATCATATGAAGATATGTCGTCCAGAAAAGCGGTAAATACGGCCAATCTCCCAGATTACATTCTCACACACGACTGAGTTAGGACCGTATGCAAAGCAGACTACATTACATTGATTGTTATATTAACCGAATATTTTTCATGATTTGTTTGTGGACGCGATATTCCCAGGTCAAGCGGAGGTATTTTCTTGTTGCATTCACAACCGGATCCTGGCTCACAAGGCATGCCGTAATGGAGGCCTCTGTCCAGTTCATTGGACCATACACACTTTGGACGAGCCGAAACTTCCAAGGTCGTAATGCACTTTGATGCCCACTCGAGTAGGTGACCATTACCACAGCCAGAAAGCTGTGAGTGGATGTGGTTCGTACGCGTCTTCTTGGTTAAAGATGGAACAGTTGGGTCCTATTGTACTAAGCATCTTTCTTGAGGCAAGGTCGTTCTTGTCGTTGTGTTTGGCGAAGTGCTGCTAGCTTGATAGATGTTATGGTGAGACTCACTCTCTTGTTCCAATAATATTTTCACGACATAAATGATTGAAAACAAGAATCGTTTGTTTAGATTAAGAAGCTTGAAATCGTTTGTTTTGTTCACTGCTTTTGCCTCCGATGATCGTTCGTAATTTTCGAAAACCTGGATCACTCAGGAATAATCGCTGCATCAAAGCAAATAATTCAGTGTTGTTTTACTCATATACGCCTTTCATTCATCGTTGTTTTCTCCTCCACACTGCATCTCCGGAGCAAATACATGTTTTGTTTTTTTCACTTGCAGTCGCAATTCAACCCACTTTGGGCCTGTCCAACCAAGTTGCTTCAAGTGCATCCGCCGGTGTCCTGACCGAGACGCCTCTCGAGAAAACGAATTCCGTGAGTGTGATTCGTGTCTCTTCCGGTCATCTCAGGACCATGTCTTGCGTTCCCATACCCTAGTTACCCCGGTAACTGTCATCCATGCATATACGGTTAAACATCAGCTGTCATGTCCACGCTAGCCCCTCACTTATTTGATGGCGTTTTTTTCGCAAGGTGTACTCCTTGACAAGGTCCTCGCAACTAATTCATTTTACAAAGTCTCTGCTGTCCAGCGTGACTAATGGTTCCAAACAATATGACCATTTGCAACTGGTAACCTTTCATTCGATAACCGAAACGCTCTGTTTGTGGACAAGGGATCAGCTTCAATTCCGTTCCATCTTGCAAGCGAGATAGCCTGCAGTGCGCGGACATGTGTGTGTAGGACATGTCTAGTGAAAGGAAGCAGATGTAGTTGGTTGTTTTATATGTTTCTTGTGTTTTTCGGGACGCTGACTATCTAATAGTAAAGGCCATTCAGCGTTCTCGATGCAGTGCGCTGAGGTCCCAACTCAAAGTTTTGTTATGGAAATTGTTTACAATCTCATGCTTCTCTTTCCCCATGGGATATTTACACAGTCGAATCGTTTCTCGGTGAAAAATGATAAAATGTCACATGAAACTCCGGGTAGAAGATAACGGATAATGTAGTCTTCAATCAATTTGCGTTTTTTACTTGTATGGCAATGTAAGGTGTGCCAGGGTTTCATCGAGCCTGTTGTGTCCGGATCTCGTTTGATCACAATATACACACAACAAGATATCACACGATGACACACGAGAAACACGCGTACCTCAACAGCCACACTATTCGTCTAGCTTCACGAGTACTATCACAGCACAGATTGGACGCCACGAGCACTAGTAGCCTTCTCCCAGCTACGTAAGCAAGAACACGGTTAGTGCACAGCGAACGTGTACTTGACACACAGGAAGCAAGTCAATTTACAAGTTTTAATCTGATGCTTATGTGTCTCAAAATAGAATCGATTAATGCAATAAAAAGATTATGTCAATCAAGTACAGTTAGCAAAGTTCGATCGATCATAAGTCAGGGAGTTAGCGAATTTCAATCGATCACGCATCGGACGGACGGAGTGAATGTTTCCGTATGACGCGATATGATTGATTGTTCTCGGCGAGATTGGTATTGATTCGCAATGTCCGAATTGCAGACACTCGAAAAATAGTCAGTTTTAGGTAAAAATAGTCTTTTTACCTAACAAGCCTCCGCTTGAAAAATTCAATAGTTGGCGCTCGAACGACGTGAGATGTATGGGTGTTCCAAGTACTGCATACTCTGACTGCAAAAGATTGGCGCCGGATTTTCAGTAGACACTTTGGAATCAGTAACTTGAAACGATGTCTCCAAAGATGTATATTGTCTAACAACGTGAACAACGACCGACATGGATGGTTTGGGTTCCGCAGTATTTGATATGCCAAAATCACATCTCTCCGAATTCGGCGATATTGAGCAGAATATAGTCCCAAAAATCATAATGTCTCACAGGTGAAGTAATACAATCCCTTCATCATCTTGGTGGCAATCATTTGTGGACTATGCAGCATCTTGATCATGTTGCAACCATGGGTTCCAAGCTTGGACGGTGTACTCTTTGTACGGTCGAATGTATACTGATAGCAAAGGTGGGAAGAGTGCTTATTCAGACCGCTCAAAGAGTCGGCTAAGCACGCCGACATTCTTCACAGCAGAAAAGGGAGCCTTGGGGTAAGTGATCGAGCAGCTTAAGTTCTCTTGAACAACTACCTGAGTCCTTCTCAATTGAGGTATGTGCAGGCTGCTGATTCCCGAGAAATTACGGGAATCTACTCTTGTGACGTAAGGAAAGGATTTTACATTATGCAGCATTAAATTCAGTGTCGTTCTCCTCAGACCATTGATAAGCTGCTTAGGTGTTTCTTGAAATATTAACGAACCATCTGTTACTGTATTCCAGATTTCGGTGTCGTCTGCAAACAGTATTTTTTTTGGCCGTAACATATTCGGTAGATCATTCACGCATGCGAGGAAAAGATGGGAACCAAGTAAAGACCCTTATGAAACACCGCGGATAGGGAATCAGAAACACGACTTGATGTGGTCCGTTGTCGGAAGAATGCTCTAATCCAATCAAGCACGAAACCTCGAATGTGTTGATTGTAGAGCTTCTGTAGCAAAATTGGGTAATCTACCCGATCAAATATTTTTGAAAAGTCCAGATAAATTATGTCTCCCGCATCCCGTTCGTCGATTGTTCCGGTCCATTCATTTCGAAGAAAAAGCAATTTGGTGTAGTTGGATCGCCTTTACCTGGACCCATGTTGAGCTGTAGAAAGCATGTTGCATCTTTCTAGGTGTTCCGTCAGAGAATCTGTCACCATTGACTCCATGACTTCAGAAGAAGGTTATAACCAGTCAGAATGGGATCTGAACCAAGTTTCTAGGTTTCAGGGGTTCCATTAGATGTCCCGAATGGGGATGTGGCTATCAGCCCAATGGTTAGATACACTGGATGATATAGCTGAGTGTCGTAATGAATGGTGTTCGGGCATCTACTCACTTTCGACACAGATAGAGTTCATTTTCTTTCTGTATCGCCATTTTAGATGTGTTCCTAGCTACGTTTCTTCCAATTACTTCTACCTCATTGGTGGCAGCTGAAAACCTCGGCATTTCAAGGGTAATCCTTTCACAGATGGTAGGTATGTTCAGTGCCAGTCGATATAGATGAATCAGTGTCAACTAAAGGCAAACTGCTCACAAAGATCCGGAGTTTCGTGATATAATCGGTCAGCTCTAACCTAGTGGTGCCACAGTGAGTTGCTCATCTGAGATACCGGGCTCAAGTCTCTCTTGATTCTAAGCTAACTGCCCTTCGTAAACAACCTATATAGTAAATTGAGATATCGATGTGCCCTCGTAGCTCAGCTTCTAAAGTTTATGTTGTCTAAAGACCTGATAGGCGTCGATGCTTTCATTGAGGAAATACCAGTAAACTTAACGTTACTATTCCGCATATCGTTTCGCCGGTTACTGAATGTCCATCATCATTGTTTTTTAAGTAAGTAGTCTGATACCAAAGTGCATGAGAGTTACCACCCACGCGAGACTACTAACAATAACTGACGCGAGCGACTTCCTAGTTGACTGCTATCTTTTCTCAGGTCAAAATCGACCCTAACGAACTGCGTTCTCCTCCACCTTGTACAAGATGGTGAGTTCTGTGCACAAATCGTTCCACGGTTCGAATGTGCGGGAGGTAGTTTGATCGGATAGTTGTGAACTCTGGTCAGATTTTTCTTTTCACTCACAACCCGTTCACCACAACATGACCAAAGTTCGCATAATGATCCTGGGAATAGCTGAACTCGATTCCTCCGCCTCAAAGTCGTACGCGTGCGTGTGTACGTGCACGGGCGCGCGCATCATTCGTCACTGGCGAAAGATACGGTTCAAACCTATGTCACAAGCGTTGAGAATTCATTCGTTTCTTTTCCGGAGTAGGATGCTACGGTGCACGCAAATAATGGTCCATTTCGCAGCTTCCTGTTCTAATTTTATGGTTATAATTAATTGAATTCCAGCGGTACGTTCGACACCCTCCCCCGAAGATTGTCTGTTCAGCGCTTAATATGATGATATCCTCTCTCGGACTCAGAATATCTTCACGAGACCCCTTGATGACAGTAATTAACACTGACATTATATATATATATATATATATCACCTCTATTTAAACATCGCTGTGTTCATTCAGAAAAATACGCATCCTTTAGTACCATGGAAAATAGAAATAGCTTGGAGTGTACACTCCCACAAGAGCTAGGGTCCAGGTAGAAATATAGTTCATAGTAGGAGCGAAACACGTTTCGAGCTTCACACAATTTCCTGCTGAATATTCATTCATCCCGGTGCATGGAGCAATTGGTGGACTTGGTTGGCTAACCCAACCTAGCTCACTACTTATGTCATTTTTTTAGCTTGACCGATCCCGTATCCCATGCTATTCAACTCGCTGTGGCGTGATTACCATCCGTCTGTTTCAATTCAATTCTGTTCAATTCTCTTATTACATTTATTTGGGTTTTATGATAGTGCATGTCAATTAATTTTCTTCTGCCCTCCTCTCCCTGTTCTTTTCAACCCAGTATCCTGTTCCTTTGCCAACTGAAGATCGACTTCAGCAAACCACATTGTGGCCCGAGGCGAAAAAACTGTACGGTCACGCATATGAAGTGAGTATGAGCTCTTCCGCAAGCCAAGGCACGGATACGCTGCGGTCATTGGACGTGTCTTTCCGTTATAACTTCGTCAGATTTGGTTTCCGAACCTAATTTCGTTCCCTCAGTAGGTGTGCTATTAAAATTCGTTGGAGCTTTGTGAACGGGTACTGCTAGGTGGTGCAACCACTTACCAAGAAAAAGATTAAGGTTCTCAGTCCTGGCTGCAAGGTAGTAGGCAAGGCGAAGTGGAGACATAAACTTGGACCAATTACTCCTTTCATCATTTGTACGCATCGGACGGCAAAACTCCAGTGCAAAACCCATCACCGCACCGCGAGCGATGTTTGCTGAAGCAGGTAGCGGTTGGAAGAAAACGAAAGGCGGTCAAACTAAGACGTGGCATGACGGTATAAAAGCCCTGACCAGGAGACTGGTTCACACAGGTCCCGTTAGGCTACCTGACTGGGAACCCAGAGATCATGGTCACCGATGGTTAGAGACATTGAGCGATATGGCTGAGTGTCGCAAGTAGTGGCGTTCATATGTATACTCATTATTCTCGCAATTTCAGTCTATGTAAATGTTATCTTCCACCTGAATCTGCTCTCAACATTCTAATCATCATTCTGCTGTTTTATCCAAGTGGGCAACCAAAACCGACGCACGAAAGTGCATGGTTAATGGTTGTAAGAACTGAACTGAAATAGGCGCAGAGTTTTAGGTTACCGCGGTCGCCCACTGGTTGACGTCCATAGGTTACGTTGTTTGGAACATGTTTTACGCTTGTCACCAAAATGGGCTGATACGGCGCTCGATGTTTTTCGAGAGTAAATGGAAAAAGACAAGATTGGTGAAAATAAGACCCAAGATGAGTGTATAAAAATGCTACCTGAGAGACTCAGTGATATGGTTTGCTTTAGGTCCACTGGGTGGGGACCTGGGATCATTGTACTCAATGGTTAGAAACACTGAGTGGTATGACTGTGTCATGAACAGTAGCTTGAAATTAGCTATTTGCTGTTTCTGGCTTAAAAGATTGGTGCTGTGTTCTCTCCCTGTATCTTTCTGTTTATTTTAATTGAATTCACCCACCTGAGGCAGTGGATTCAGATTGTTATTTGCCATTGAGGAGGATTTTCGGGCGGTGAAATCTGCCAATCTCAATACGTAACCCTGACAGTACAGCGGTATTCACGGACATTTAGCAGTTCATTTGGCTGGAAAAGACATCAGACATCTTAGTTCGTTTACTTAAAAAATGAACAAGCAAGGTATGCCATATACATATATATTTTCCGCCTTGATTTCCACATCCGCTGCCCTGAGTAGTAAGAAGCCGACGCTCAGTCGGTAGTATTATGTTCAGCTCTGTCTACAGTTTGTTTATTACGTACCGTTGATTTTAGCACGAACCGTTTGGTAAAACGGGTGAACTTTGGTTAGCGACATGCTGCAAACACGAGAGAGGGAGGAAATATTTAAGTAAAAACTTAGTCCGGATTTCCACGCCGTAAAGTTTGGGTTGTCTTGATCTACAGATGAAGGATAAGTGTTCGATAGTGTTTTGGTCAGAAATAACGAGGCTGGATGATAGAAATGAGGACAGCCATGAGGGTGAGCGACCGTCTCAGGTCTGTGTGAACAAGGAAGAGGCTTAGTTCCCGGAACTGTCTTGGCGTGTTCTAAAGAATATAAATCAGAATAATGCCAGTAGAGAAGCTATAATGAAGTCAGTATGTGGGGATGAGAAAGCGAATGCGGACGACATTAGTAAGAGATCGTTGAGTAATCAGAAAGCTCGATCCAGAAGCGAAAGAGCAGATCACGAAGCTCCACCACACACTGCTGTATTCCAGTTTCTTTTCTTATTGACGCAACGCTCGTGATATGCTCAAACCGTGTTTGCCATTTGTGAGTCCATCCAAGAACGTTGCCCATAGACCGGGAGATATTTTTCCAGTGCTTCAAATTGAGCGGAAAAGCCTAAGCACATCGCAACCGACAAAGTCTCAGAAGTGGCCTAGGCAAGGACATGATGTAGATCATTAAAGATCGCTACTAACACTGGTGTAGTATCGATTCGAACCTCATCACCCTAACAGCCCGTTGACTGACCACAACTGTAGTCCTAGCATTATCTGTACTGTACTCATTAAAGCGAAAAGGATGACTGATATTGAAATCATGATGGGGGAAATTATGTTTATTAGGCGGTTATTACTGTTCTGACCTCTTCTCATTTCAAGCGTACTTGATACTATGTCATCATGTTCCGACGAAGATAGATTTTGAGCGACTTCTGAAATCTGTAATGCGGCCGCACCCTCTTTATTAGTTGCAATTATCGGCATCAGCATTCTCATTAGTTCACCTTTTCTGGTTCTTCCTTTTTTGGCGAAAATGCGCATCGTCTCCGTTCAAAATCATCAGATGCCTCAATCATTCCCCTTTCCCTGTCTGCGTTGTCTTCAATTGTGCAGGTCTACTGTCTCGCAGCACATCCGCATCTGCTGCTGGTTGCCTCAGCTTGCTTAGCCACGAAACCACAGCATGCTTTCATCATTCTCTGGAACGGGTACACCGATTGGACTATTCACGCGGTAAGTGCTGTTTTGGTCATGATCTGATCATTTCCCAATCAAATACCCTACCCTGTTGCATTTATGGGTGAATGAATATTCGTCGAGTGACACATTGCATCGAAGCCCCAACAATGGAGCAAAATTGTATGGTCATTTGCAACGTCCAAATAACCTATCAGTCAAATTGCCAATAACTTGCTAAACACCGTTGTCAACACAACGCGCACTGATTGCCTCCACCCTCACCACTTCTAACTTCCCAAACGGTTTACGATCGTTTAAGTTCCGAGTTATTCTGCGATTTTTCAGAAACCCTCAAGTTGGTTTATCAACATCATCAACTCCGAAAGCCTCAGTATAGTTGGGGGTGGATGTCTAGGGCTGCAACTGGTCACCCTTCTCTTGCACCTCGCGAGATGCTCCCGTACGACCAATCGTCTTAAATAGCCTTTGTCGAGGAAGCCTTACTCACTGCCTTATCTTGGCGGTGTTTTTCCATCAAAGTGAGAGGACGAAAAACCGACATCCGGTGGTATAACTGGGTTGGTGGACCACTGGTAGTCCACCTAGCGGAGTTGGCCGAAAAACGTGATTCCAAACCAACCAAGAAGAAGCGTAAGAACCACACACACACCTTCCTGGTCGCGGCAGTGGTCACCGGCTCAATCGGGCATCAAGGTCTATTGGACACCTTGGACGTTTGACCCCGTCCAAAGGGGGTGTATGATCCGGTGAATTGAACATCGGCCCACAATAGACTGCGGTTTTCGCACACCGCCTCGCTGCCTTACGGATCAGGCTTTGGTTAACCAAAGACTCCGTTTGTGAATTCCTCAAGAAAATTCATCTACTTTGGCCTGGGTAGTATTCAGCCCATATTCAAATCATAAAACTTTTTTACTTTTTATGAAGAGTATGGTACCACGCTTTCTTTGGCACGGTCTGAACTCAGACATGTGTGAAATATAAATAAAAATGATCATTGGGAAAGTCTTGAACACAGGATTGTTGTATAACGCTTGTTTACGATCCTCCTCAGCGCACTTGCATCACACCCAGTGCCATTCACACACGATAAATTACTCGTGTGATGCCAAATTCAATCTACCCATCGACACTGAGTGTTAGTAGCTTGTGCTGCCCTCTTACTCCATAAGATAGCACTCGCCTGGCATTTGATTCACCAAACAGCGATGAACGCGCTCTCTTTATTCTCCTGCTGTTCCTTTATTAGCGTCTCACGCATCACCAACTGACTGTGACCCAACTGACGTGGAGTCCGAATGGACAATTCCTATTGGCCGTGTCACGTGATCGTACGTGGAGTGTGTGGTACGGTGTGGAGCAAAAGTCGGACGATGACACCTCATGTCCCACGCTTCCGAAAACCTACAGTCTGCTTGCTTATCCGGCAAAGGGAAAGAGTCATTCACGAATCATTTGGGCCGGGGCTTGGACCCCAGATAGTCGGTAATTATGCGTTTGTATGGATGCATGTGTTGGTTGGTCCATTAAAATTTGCGTGCGACGGATTGCTTTTTACTAACGAAAGTAGCCTGCTCATTTAGACGACTGTCTGATTTTGCGTGGATATTTGTACGGATTGAACCGAATTCTATATATGATGAAAAATGACCTAATATACTAAAATCAGGTGTGTTCTCCCAGTTCACAATCACGGGAGTTTGAGTGTTGACATAAAATGGGTTTGGTTGTATTTCATGGATTTCCACCGATGCGTGGCACAATGCATAAAGGAGTTACAGTTAGCATACTTTATAGATTACTCTTTGTAAGATGCGTTTGGTTTTGAAAAGGGAATTATTCAGTTGATGTGTTATCCTGTTCAAACTGTTTAATATAGGTTTACATGGCTTTTAATTTGTTCAAATGCTAAACAATTCGATTCTGTGCTCTCCAATATGCATCAGATACTTCCTGACCGGTTCCCGGGACAAAGCCATCCTTGTCTGGACAGTGCCCTCTGTTCTTGATTCAAACGCGGCCGCCCCAGTGGCTAGTGTTCCTCTTGACGCGCGTCACAACTGTTCCGATGCTGTCACGGCCTTGGATGTGATCGGTCTGACCCATTCGACGTCCTCTTGGAACTACCTGGTGGCTCTGGGCTTGGAGTCTGGCCAACTTCAGCTTCTTTTATTCCGTCTATCCCCGCCTGACCAGTCGTCATCTGCAACACGAATAGACTGGTCTCCACCAATCCTCTTTAACCCTGAATTGTGTCACGTAAAAAATAAACGTGTACGACGCTTGGTTTTCGCTCCTTTCGGCGGTTCTGCTGCTCGAAGAATCCTAGCGAGTGCCGCAGATGACGGTTTGGTTCGTCTGTTTGAAGTGGACATTGAACAGTGTTAAGATATTTTATGCTGTGATCCCTCTTTTCTCTTTATGAACTCATTTTTCTGAAACCCAGTCAAGCATACGTCCGAATGTACAAAACATAGAAGGTTGATTTAATCATGGTCGAAATGTCTTCTTAACTTTATTTGTCTACATTGGGTTCCATTGTGTTTAGCGACTTCAGACATGTTGATAATAATACATGTGTGAAAACGGCATGCACCAGATAACTCTTGGGGCAACCATTTGACTCGTTTTTGCATTATGGATTACATCTTTAATACGACGATTCACATTAGAGCTTTCTCCAAGCATCTAGCCCGGGATTGTGGACTACTGATTTGCATTTTCAAAACCTTCGTGCGCACAAACCTCATTGACACCACTCGAACTGCCACGAAGACAGTTCCACTATCCTATGGTTTAATGACCTATCATACTTGCTGTATTCCTCTGGTCTCGAACAAAGGTTGCCGACGTTCACTTCTACTACTGTTCCCTGATTCAATACCACACCGATTTTACCAGACCGCTAATTGGTACACCAAATCAAAACTCAGCCGGATCTGCTGAACTTACTGACTGTGCAGCACGAGAGTCTAGTTAATATTCTTCACATTCAGGATGATAGAGCTCTCCTGTTTCACCAGTCAGCCATTCAGAAGCTGACCAAGCATTTTTTTTTCCGGGCGCGCAGCGCACACATCCCGGTCTTTCATAACTCTACTGGTAACAATTAGATTATTGAACTGCCTAAACAAAAGTCTTCTACAGACCAATCATAAAACGACACTGACGCATTAGATCACCTGGCGTGCGGGAAACACTATCCAACACATTCTCTTCTCTTTATGACGCTTCATTTTGCAATCCTGAATGTTGCATCCGGTCATTTTGTCGTTCATGAAGGTGATAATTCTACGATACACGTCATCGGTTCCTGAAGGTGAATCATGTATGCCCATCGTGATACCCTATCGAACATTGTCTGTTTCCTCTATCATTATCAAGTGGATTCGGTTTCTGTCCATTGGTCATTGGCTATATTACGCTTTGTAAGAGCTTTTTGATTGACTGCGAAGCTACTGATCCCATTACTCATGTCTTCCCTATCGGCTCTAGCGTTTGCACACACAACAACTTGTTTCCCGTAGATAGCAACTCATTGAGATATACTTCTTCAACATTGTGATGCGCATTTTAGCCCTAACCTGATGAATGTGTGGTATGCTTTGCGGTTGTAGTTGTCGTAACCCGCAACGATCATCCCTTGATGACGTCTTCTCTCGTCCAGATAACGATTTTACAGTTAGGGAAATAGAACACATTAAAGTGTGTAGGAAATCAGTTATTGTACGAATAACATACTTATTTATCGGTAAAGGGAAAGACGAATGAATATACACAACCAAGGAATAACTGGCTCTGTCAAAAATCTTGGCTGTATTGTATTGTAGTTACATATGCAAGCAATTATACCTAGATTTCAGTCATGAACTGTCTTCACTTTTACACTGGGATAACAAATGATGATACTACAACTGTAAAACAAACAAAATATGGTTTTTTTAGATTAAAAATTAGGACCTTTTTCTTGTCAGTTCGAATGCTAGTCAGGTAGGCTACTGTAGGATTGCCACAAATGTTTATACAGTATGATAAGCAGCGACATTTCGATTGGATTGTGGCGTGCGAACCACAAGCAGATTGAGCGGGTGACTGGGGTTGTTCAGACTTATGGGCGAACTACGCACGTTTAAGTAATGTGAAGAGTACGGTTTTGCGATTGGAATGTGTATGAGCATAAGAGAATAATTGCCGAATCACGCTGAAAAGCAACACAATTCCTTTTAGGTAAGCTAGAGGAACAAAAATCATGATGGGGGAAATGTACTGATAATATGTAGTTGAATGCCTGAATCTAAGTTGACCTACCTTGCGTCTCTGAAATGATCAACAGCGCAGTTTACCAGCGTGCTTGCATATGGGAAAATCAACCAGATAGCTTTTTATCGTGGCCCCTGGTTCTGTGCGGAACTGATGACTAAAGGTTCCAACGGATACTTAGACCGGGAAAGAGTAGCAACGTATTTGAAAGATTTAGGAGCATCCAACTAGGGGTCACATTATTTATGGAACTTTTTCACTCCTGGTGAACTGTTAGAAAATAATTCCATTTCGGAATGATTTGAGATTCCTTGACATCATCCGCATATTAAGAGGTATTGGTTATCAGGATGAACGATAAGTCATAGATGAATGTTGAATATGATTACGGAGAAAGCGCAGCACCCTGAAGGACTCGAATTATTTGCTAGCTGTTTCGAAACAGTTCCGTTTGCTTTCGTTCTTTGAACCCTTCTTGTGAAATAGTGACCTTAACTTTGGAGGGACAGACATCTTAGTTGACCAGTGACTTGCATTAGAGTATTCTTGTTTCAGAACAAAACAATTTCCAGAGAATACAGCTGTCTGGAGTGGTCTCGATGACATATATATTTCGTAACTCGAGAAGAGTGATCAACAAATCGCTACCCCGTACCAAGCACTTCCTGATAATCTCCGTCACTTGTTCGACCGCGATTTCTGCTTTGTCATTTGGTTGGCTTTAATACTGGTTGGTGTTCGAAGTTCCACCGAGCACTGAATTGTTGAAACTCAATGCCACGAAGTTGTACGTCATCTGCGATCGATTTTACTGATATTCCTTGTTGTGTCTGATTGCTGCAGATCATCTTCAAAGAAGTCATTCAAGCAGCCCACGATTACCAGATAGTTAATCTTTCTATGATGAAACACCTAACATGAACATTCTTCTTGACCGTTCTGGTCTTTTTTTGCATGCCCCTAGGTTCTTTCGTTTGTTTATCTGTCCGCAGGTACTCCATCTGGTGATCACTTGTTCTATCCGATATGCCCGGCCAGTTTTATATCCCCTGGGAGCGACTGAGACTGGTTGATACCAACGTGATAGTACAGTAGCAAACGCATCACGGTTTGTCCAGTAGCTTTGGAAATCACCTGCTTATCACCGCAAAAAATCACCACGTCTGATCTATCTGCGAACTTGAAGAAGAGTAATACATTTATTGGAATGATCTTTTAATGAAATATCCTTTTTCTCCTTACCCATTTCAAGGAGGTAGTTGAACAGGATTGAAATGGGTCTACAAGTTCGCGTGCTTTGATTCAGCTGTAAATGCACATTTATCTGAGCAGGTCGTGGTGGGAACGTA